TTATAACCTTGACGATGATTCCGAACTGGATAAACTAGGAGGGATGAAATTCTTGGGACTTTTATCTTTTTTAAATGAATTCGAGATCCTCAGAATCGAATGCAAATAATTAGGTATATTGATCATCACGAAAAGGTGTATGTGTGAATCAATAACGATGAAACACTACAATTACGTTGTATAATGAAAAATTGAAGAAGGAATCATCAGAGCGAGTTAGGAAAAATGAAAATGTTTTCTCCAAGCGGCAGGAAAGTGGCTTTCCTCTGACACTTAACAGGCATAAAAGGTGTACTTTCACTGCCTAGGCAGAAAAAGTTTGTTGCTATGCGACGTTCCCAGAAATTCTAATAACATTATTGGTAATCAAAATTGACACAGACATTCGGTGAACAAAAAATGATGTTTTTTCTGTGACGGGAAAAAAGTTTGGCATTTCATCTCTGTTCGCAGGTTATAAAATGTTACTTTTCATAAATTACTTGTTTCCCGTGGGCAATAGTGAGTACTTCTTACCCGGATATATATCACATGTATATACACTGTTGATGGCTTTTGTTGTGCTATAGTTCTGAAAAATGAGTCAATAATATCGTCTCCGAGAAAGAACTGCCCTTTTATCTTCCATTCGACTTCGCGGTTACGTATATTACTAAACAACCACTAAATTCGCAATTTTTTAAAATCAAAGCACAGAATTAGACTGACAGAAGTGACATCAGATATTTGATCACTTCAAAAGAATGATAAAGATGCCTATACAACGCAGGTGTCCCTACTGTTAAAAACTTGAAATTTCACGACGATAATTTTCAGATTTCAAAATAATGTAATATCTTCTCAATATTGATTCGTCCTTTCTTCTGTCACAGAAAAAAATAGTGTATTATACACGGGAAAAATATTATATTTTAGCTCACGGTTTTTTGTCTCCCTCCGCTACGCGTCGGGAGACAACACAACCTGGAGCAAAATCTACTACTTTTTTCCCTTGTATAATAAATAACTATTTCAACAAAAAATCAGCACAAAATGGGTTTCATAACATTTGGAGAAAAAATTATCTGTTGCACACGGCAGTAAATGTGGATTGACTCCCTTTGCTGAATTCCTGTCAGCCGCTTCAGTCAATCTACTACTTTCCTGCCTAGTAAAACAAATAACTTTTTGTATTGTATTGTTTAACGAGCACGGAAATTTGACATTTCATGATGGAAGATGATACTCTGTGAGATAATATGATAATTCAATGAAGTAGGAAATGAAATCGATGACATATAAAGTACCTCATTGATATATCGAACAAAGTAAAATAAGGCCAATTTCGTTTTGTGGCCGTAGAAAAAGGCCTGTTTTTAGCTATACAACAACTGTGTTCATCAGGAAGAGTAATAATACTGTGTCTTTTGAATACATCTTTCGATATAGTGATTACATCGCGTTATTCTGGGCTGTGTTGATGTTTTGGGAAGTGTTTTGAGAACTCATATGTGGACTACATGCAGATTTCATACTGGTAAGTCTTTTCAATCTTTCCTGACACGTGATAGGAACTTTGCGAGAAAATAAATCGATTTCTGACTCCAAGGAACAAAAATGAATTAAGTCTTCTCACAAAAACCAATAAGTACGCATTATACAGTGCTTTCGTGAAGTGCTGAATGAATTCATATTTAGCCCAATTATTCATTCCTGAGGATTCTCCCAGTGTAATTTCATGCTCCTTCCCCCCAAGAAGGCTAACAGATCTGGAAATTTGTTTGATTACTATATGAAAACGATACGAAATACAGACTGTTTTAATTGGTCGAAAATATGATTTGTGTATTTTTCGATTATAATTCAGATTTATGAGTTTCAAGTTGAGATGATCGTTTCAAATGACCCTGTATATCAGTATAGTATATACCATGTTTATCCTATCTTCCCGTTCACTCCAGATATAATCATTATTTTTATTAGACATAGATGAATCTGTCATTCACAAATATTAGTTGCGGTCTACTCAAAGTACTCCAATCAGTTTCAAGCAAGAATCTAGTGCATATCGCGGAATACTATACAGGGGTTTCCACGATGAACGTTTATTAGACATTTCTGACGAACAAAGCAACGTATGAATCTGAAAATTTGGTGGTATGTATAAATTGACCTACACGTCTGAAATATTTCAAACGATGCGACGTGGTCGTCTCTCCTAGTGCGTATCATTAGTTCAAATAGACCACCCTGTATTGCATCAATGTTTGAAACTTGGGGTTCCTGCGGAAATGAATTACAGGAGTATCGGGTGTTCAAAATCGAGATTTTTCAACTTTGAGATTTTTTTGTAGCGAAACTATACATTATTTGCCGAAACGGCTGGCATGTCCCTATATATCTTTACTTTTGATTCACCATCTACTGACATTTATTCAATTGGAATAAATACACGGTAGTTCAAGTTTCAGAATTCTGATCACCCTGTATCTGTTCCGGATAAATGTCAGTAAATAGTTTATCAAAAGTAAAGATAGGGACATGTAAATAGTTTCGACCAATAATAATGAATAGTTTCGACACAAAAAATACTGAAGTTGAAAAACTTCGATTTTGAACTTGAACCTCTTTAATCATCCACGCAAGACCTCAAGGGTGATGCATCGATGAAATCAGTCAATCAATCATTGAAGTCATTGTGATATGAGATACGGAAATGGAATTGACATACAAGGTGTCAGTGATTTATCGAAACACAGTAAATAGGGTAACTTTGTGTTGAAGCCGTAGAAAAAAATAATACTGATCTGAGGTTTTTTCAGGATATTCCAGAAGCAATGTAAACTATGGCAGATATTCCAGCATTTTGGAACCAGTACTCTCTAGAGCTCTATAATCCTTCAGGACAATTCACTTAGGAGCTCAAGATCTGTCAGACAGATTAACGGAATATGGAGAGTTCCAAGATAAGTTTTCATGAACATTAAATTCAAATACAGATCATATTTTCATCCTTCTTAGAAAATTTATTCATGAAAAACGACTTTTATCGATCATTCTCAATCAGTCGAAAATTTTTTCGACATTGTGAGTGTATGAGATCACGTCAGGTACCCTTACGAGGGGAGTGTATCAACTTTGCCGTTCGTAATGCCTCTCTACAAAGGAGGATGTCACTTCTAAGAGTTAGATATAAACAGTGGTCTTATACCAGTTCTTTTCCAAGTTATGTGTGCTCTTTACAAAAAAAACAGTCGTTATTTCAATGAAGCTGTGCTCAATGAAGTAAAGACCCATGTTTTCTTTGAAAAAATAAAAATTATAATAATGATATATTGCGCAATCAGAGAAGCATAATACTAATCCAAGTTTTTTTTTTCAGGATATTCCACATGCAATGAAAACTATGGCAGATATCTCATCATTTGAGATCCTGTACTCACAAGAACTCTATAATCGTTCAAGACAATTCAATTAGGAGTTCTATGGTTGTCATATTTTTTCAAGTCTTCAATATCCTGAATCACTACTATGGTAAATAAAAAAAGCCTTCATGCCATTTCCATCATAATCAATATAAAAAAATTGGTAATCTTGAAACAAATAATGCTCAAGTTCTTATACTAATTGAATGAACCCAAAACACTAGAATCAGGTCACTGAATGCTCATAAGGTGTACCCTTGGGTAGATCGACATTGTGTCTAAGCCGAGGTCTAAACGATGAATAGTACATGGGCTTGAACAAAATGTACCATCATAACTCAAGAGTCGTTACGATTCATTTGGACAGCAGTGTACCTAAGGTCTATTTTGAACGTTATTTCAAGAGTACCTATTTTTCCATAAATAATCTATTATTAGAAGGTGAATAAAAGGTGAATAAAAAGTGAATATATAAAAGTACAATGTTGGGACGAAGTTTTTCATTAAAGATGAATATCTGCCCAGAATGTACACTTCCATTTTTTCCATTCTGGAGAATGAGGAGAAGCTCCAAAGCCATATCTGAAAAGACGATATTATGATGAAGCTCTTGAGTTTGAAAATTTGAACTCTTGGTTTTTACATTCGAAATGTTATTTCAGTACCTCATCGAAGACAATCTGTCTGCTTTTCACTTTTTGTTTCAGTTTTTTCATTTTTCTTTGCAACAGAGGAGGCCCTCTCGAATGAAACAGTTTGTGGGTTTCATTATCAATAAACTTTGGAACTTACATGGGAACTGGATGTTGTAAGTACATCAATATCCACATGAAGAACATTGTCCTCAGGATCCAAGTTAAGAACATCCACAGACACATCCTGAAAATAAATTACTTTAGTTTTCCTAAGAATCTGAACTATTTTTAACTTACCCATGGAGGACAATAATTTCTGTTTGTCTTGCTTGTTTTGCATCCAAAGGCAACACAATATAAATGAACATTATTTATTGATTCGAATTCACAAATATATTATCCAACAATAATCAATTCACACCAACAAATTCAGTCCTTTTGAAGAAACAAAACACGCCAAATTTAGCGATATTTCACATAACAAAAAACAATGAAGTTCTGTCTTCACTTTTTTGCCTGTTTAGATGAAAAAAAAAAGATCTCAAGTACTCCAATCATTGAATAAAAGCAAATTTATACACCAATCCTTTGTTGCGGAGTAACGCCCTGACACACTCTGTGCTATTTGAGAAACCGGCAGTCTTCCTTCGTGTTTATATTGAGATCATTGTACGCCATATGTATTACTCGATGACAGGATATCATGTCAAATCTGAACAGAGTGAAACACCAAATTGAAAAACAATGTTTAAAAAAAACGAAGAGAAATGTAGGTAAGGATACTTTAGTGAGAAGCTGAGAACTGGCTTAGAATATTCGGATATGGTTACTATTGGAAGACTAATTTACATCCGGTACTCAATGGAAATGTATCTGATGAAATTCATGAGAACGTTGAATGCTTCATTGCTCATTAACGAAGTATCATTAATTAAACTTATAGAACGTTCCGATAAAACATACCTTATCTGAAGTTTCGATGTAAGTATTTACCTCAGACAGTACCACTTTTGTTCAAAGTTAATGCCTCTCTGTTTTTTAACTACGAATAAAGGTTTATATTGAGAAAAGTCAATATATTTGCTTTAACGAAATGAATAAGAGCGCAATTCTCTTGATCACATTTTTGTGCGGTATTATACTGATTTCGGTGTTAACTGCAGTATTAGGTGAGTCATGACTTAAGAATTTGTTGATCTGTCAATGTGCTGATAGAGTGATTGAGTAATTTGGGTTGATGAGTGAATTACTCATCACAGGGTTTTTCTGAAACTAGGTATATAATCAATTATTCGTCTAATATGTTCGACACCGTTGAAGGATAGAAACAAAAGTTATTGGTATTTTCATTGGGTGATCATCTTCAATACATCGCGAAAGCAGCTTAATAAAACTCGGATTTCTGTTCCGTGTGAAATAGTAATTTTCCAAACAAGTACCGTTTACCCGAACGACGCGAAGCGGAGTTCGGGCAAGCAGTCGAGTGCGGGAAATACACTTTCCGCATGAGTTAGGAACAATATTTTTTCTACAAGCGTAGGAAATTGATTGATTGTTTCAATCAATCATTCCTGCAAATAGGAACAAATAACTATAGTGATATATTCTCTATCTTCTTATAATTAGTAATGTAACTATTGTGTGTACCGTTTGAAGCATTATGTCGGTAAGCTTATAGTGGAAGCCAGCATGCCCATGGTGTTTGGCCTCTAGGTTTCAGACATTTTTTGGAAATGAGCCAAACATACTTCTACTTCATTTGGTGTTTTCACTTTTTTATCATTGCACCATTCAATAAATTCCGTGTAGTGCTTCTCATACCTTTCTTAAGACTTCGTTGGCAATAACTCATCTGTATCGCATATGTAGCTGGAAGTTTTTCATCGCAATTCCACTGAATCGAAAATGACAGTAACGCTTTGTCTGTCACTCTGAGAATTACGACACTAAAGGTGCGTTTTGTTGTGCCATAACTCAATCTGGTTCTTGGCATTGTACACGTTTTGTTGTGCATTCAAACCCATTTCCATTCCCATTCGCATTCCTCCTCATGAGAAGGATTGAAAATTAGAATGACAAATAAAAGTGACTTGTGATTATAATTGTGACATGAGAATTGGATTAAAATGAAAAATTGTCAGGATTTATCGCATACAAGCTAATACTAATAAATAGAAATTGAAGAGAGCCGCAGAACGGAGGAATACTAATTATTGAGAGTAAATATATTCAATTCACTAAGTAATTTTTGAACATAATTATGTTTCTACAGTTCCAAATATTCGCATTGTCTGGCGCCGATCCGTTTTCTTGGGCCCACCCATTCTATCACTTCCGGAATGGCACAACAAAACGCACCTTAAATAATTTGTGTTTTTGATTGAAATGACAACAATTGTTTTCCACATCAGATCAATTGAAGGCTATAGGATGATTTATATAACAATCAATTCAATATATTTTCATTTTCACAATAAATAGTGCAATTTAATGGATGATTTTGTTCAAACTTACTGAATACTATGCATCAAAAATCCTAAAATTCACATATTGTGTCACCCACCACTCATATTTTGATCATTCATGATCTACAAAGCACATATACGGCCAGCTTTGAAATAATGTTCTCACATATGAGGTATCAGAACACCATCATTCCATCACTAGCAATACTATTGAGACGCGAACTCGACAATCCCAGTCAGCACATCCTTTTTTTGTCAACGTTGAAATATGTCGAACAACGCTTTTCCAAAACTCGTTCATCCATAGAACGGCAATGCTTTGCTATTCTTTGTCAGTAGAAGTATAAGTGAGATTTGCTGGGCTGTGTGCACGTGAATATATACCAAAGAAGGGAAGATTTGTATTTCGTGCAAGATATTTTATTCAATATTCTCATCAAGTTCACTTCAACACGACATGTCGCAGCAACAATGGCTGCTTAACAAAATGTATTCCGTATTTCACCCCCTTTTGGGAATCACATTTTAATTTGTTTGTAACGTATTCTACCTTAATGTCGTTAGTTTTGAACTGGACCAAAGATATTTTTATGGACAAATTTCAAGCGGTCTGCTACGAATATTGAATAAATTATCTTGCACGAAATACAAATCTTCCCTTCTTTGGAATAGAAGTATACCCAAGAACTTATACAGGGTGTCCAGAGATGAAACCGACAAAAACCTATGAGGCTGCCAATATGAGTGCAAAATACCATTTAAAAATGTCCAAAACCGCTTCGTTACTGACATACAGAGTTATTTGTGGATTTTGACAAAAAATTCAATCTGTCATAATACGCATACAGGGATAACCCGATTGGGTTCACATTTGGTCATTGGTACATAAATTAATCTTAAAGGTTTCAACAAGTAGGTAGCCCTTTCAACGAAACCAATATCAGGACCGGAATACTATTCATTTTCTATGTTGTTTTATTGTGAGAATAGCTCACCCTGTATAATGATTATCAAAAATATGAGGTTCTATTAGATTCCTACGGGAAAATACTATGGAAACTTGTTGGGAAAGTTTCTGGCACAATTTGAGTTATTCCGTGATGAGTTATTATTATTTATTGAAAAGGAATAATCAAGGGTAATATAACAAGACCTTGAAAAATAGTCGACTATTTTTATTGCATCTAAATTTCGACTGTATTTTATAATAATTTAACGAGACACTATTTTGGCATTAATAATCTGATGAGAGCCCGAGAGCGAAGCTCGAGGGCTTTCATCTCTGATTATTAATGCCAAAATAATGTCGAGTGAAATCAATAACTACAAGAGAAATTTAGCAGCAATAAAATAGTCGACAATTAATCAAGGTCGTGTTATATTTGTGAAGATTATTTCTTGAATCCACTTCTCTATATCAGTCATATCAATGAATGAAAATCAAACAATTTGGAATAATTTATTCAAAATATCAAGAACAAACTACAAAATCTAAACAAAAACAGCAGTAATATTTATAATTTATAGATTGAAATTAAAAACACAATTATTGTATGTGACATTTCCACCATGTGTAATTTGCGACATTTGTTCAGCTTTTGAAGAACTTGCAGTATTTACATTAGAAGGTCCACATTCATTCTGATTTCTCAATCTGTTCAAAATACCTTGGTGATGTTGTTCATCCATCTGCAAGTAAGGTTGAATCGAAGAAGTACTAGCGTGGCCAGTAATTTGAATGAGTTGCTGCTCTGGTACTCCGGATTTTGCCAGTTGAGAAACTGCAGTTGATCTGCAAGAATGGTTTGTAATTTCCAATTGGTTGGTATCTAAACCAATAGACTTTCCTCCCAATTCAGTCCATTTTGAAAATTCGTTTTTCCCAACCGGCGAATTCTTGTACCACAATGAGTTTCTATTCTGCCAGAATGGATTTGGAGTTAGGAACAAGCGTGGACATGTGATTCCTGGTCCTCTTTTTCCAATTAATTCTCTAAACAATCTAACTGGACAGCGCTGTGGATTTTGTTCATTTTTAGTAAGCCACTTGCTGTCTGCGCATTTCTGGTTTCCTCCTTGACAGGTTTTTGTGAAAATTGGGTTATATTCTATCCTACCTGATTCATTACCATTATTCTGAATTTGAAATTTGAAATGTTCAATCAGAGCTGAACAACCTTCGCCCCCACGCCACGCTAATTCTACTGAAGCCAAATAGTAAAATGGATCTTTTTTTATGTTATACTTCTTGAAATACATCTCTTGAAGAGTTTTAGCTGTAGAATTCCACATGCACTTCACAGTATATTCTTTATAATCTTGCCCATTTTCTTTTTTCATATTTCAGGCCCAGTCTTTTAGAATATCATTCAGTTTTGTGATTGGGGTCGACTCATTCAATTCATATTGACGATGCCCGCAGAATTTAGTAAACTGATTCCATATGCCATTTTTACTCCTCACTGTATTGTCAGGGATTGTACCCTCGATTATCCCATCTATCTCTTCGTTTATAGTTTCTCCAAATCGATTCATTTTCAAATACTTATACAGCTTCAACACGATTGATTTTATTTGACGTTTAAGATGTATTCATTCAGAGTAATGTTAGATGCACAGGTTCATTGATATATAGGTATTATGCTGAATAGTCTGTGACTATTATGCACCATGTAAATAGTCGCTAATAGAGCGTGTTGATTGGTCCTGTCAAACAGGAAACAAACGTATCATTGGTTGATGACTGATATTTAATAGACGAAAGAAATAATCTCAGATAAATTATGAACATACAAAAATTATTATTTGATCTTCACTTGTCCATTTCTGCTTTATATTATTATCATTATTATTATATTAATCTTGGCAACGGTTGCTTTTAACAGACCCATAACGCCTAGAGCATTATGGAGGACATTATGAATCACATTTTCCGGTAAATGTTTTTTTCTGTAGTTAATAAAATTACTCACCAATTCTTGCAAGTACAATAATCCTTTTCGCTTTTTGTATATACACGAGTCTGGATTTCTCCGGCAATAAATTAATCGAAGAATTATGATTTATGTTCATAATTATATCTAAGAATTTTCCGTCTCAATACTTTCACCCAATCGAGGTGTTCAAACTTGAACGATGGGAACTTGTTATTATCATAGTCCTTAATCGCAGATTCGTGATTAGTTTTTCACAATCCAGAATTTCTTTTCCACGTCCTGTATGATGAATATCAATTTATCATACATTAAGAATAGTGAGTAGTCCTATTGAAAATTCTACAGTAATGGGTGCTGGGGATGAGGGGTGTTTGGTGAAAGAGTTTTCCCTCGGAATAAAAATCGACGGTCTGAATGAATTCAAATTTCTTCAACGGCTAAAGTTTAGCTGGGAAATACTGCATATCACTGGGAAAATCATGAATAATGGAGGTTTTAGAAACAATGTTCAGACGGTGTGGTTGTTCCACTTCCTTCCAGATTTCTATACAAATTTTATGAATCAAAAATTGGAAATTTGTCTGCAACGTTGAGACTTTGAACTGGGATACACGTGGCTGAATAGTTTCTGAGAAACGTGTTCTGTCAGCTACTACAAGGTTTACATCAAATTGCATCAGAACTCTCTACATAATGACACTCAATTCCCCATAAAATGAAGATGTTTCTCATCTAATATAGAAAATTCTGTTTCGTGGGTCGCTAGTCTACTTTCCAGTTTCCAAATCATCAGCTACCGATGGACCACCGGAAAATGGAACACTCAAGTATAGCAGAGAGATGATGCAAAAGGAATATCCAGGCTTGGGAACGGATTATGTCATATTCGAAGGGGATAATGGTGAGAAAATCTACGCATATCTGAAAGGAGATGGTCCAATGCAAGGATATGACCTCTTCAACAACCTGAATGTGTTCACGACGCTCGTGGCATCAGCTTCAACAGATTTGAGTTATATTCAGGATGTTTTCTCAGTATTAGAGGAAATTGTTTCTTTCACTCTCTACACTAGGTATGTATATCAAATCAAATCAAATCAAATATACTTTATTGTCTGAAGAACGTAATTCTTATTGACAAAGTCGTTACAATTAAAAGGAATAATAATTATAAATAGAACAATATGCACACAAGTGAATCAAATAAAATTTGGTGAAACATTTTTACCGTACTGGTCAATAACAACATGCATAAATATAATATAATAGTACGAATAAATATTAAAATTATCACAATAAAAAATTGCTTTGTTCACATTCATAACAATGGTTATAATCACTAAAATACAATAACAACAAACATGTGTAAATTTATAATAAATACAAGTACAATATAAATATAAATTATGAATAAATATCACTATTGAAACGTATTAAAATTGAATTATGAATACTAAGGATCGGACGACGAAGTCAAATTCTACAACACTAAAAGTTCTGACTGTAGAATTCATCTAATGAGTAAAAAGCATTCGTCAGTAGGAGATTTCTTACAGAATGTTTGAATTGATTTTTACTACTAATAATTTTAATTTCGTTGGGTAGGTGATTGAATAATTTTCTACCATTATAAATTATGGAATTTTTTATTTGCGTTGACGTTGGAATTGGTAATGATATATTGAGTGTTTGTCTAGTATTATATTGAGTTATATTAGAGATTTCGTTGTTAAATTTACTATGCATGAGACATACCGCTTCTAAAATAAAAATACAAGGTAGTGGTAAAATTTTATGTTTGATGAAGAGTGGCTTGCAAGAATCCCGGAATTTAGCTTTGCACATATACCTTATTATTGCCCTTTTTTGCAAGACAAAAATCATATTGAAAAAATATTGACTACATGATCCCCAAAAACAAATTCCATATCTTAGATGTGAATCGACTAAAGCATAATACACACTTTTTGCCATGTCCTCACCAAGTTCCCATGAAGTGGTTCTTATTGCAAAACAGCCTGATGCTAGTTTTCGTCTGAGTTTTTCAATGTGATTTTCGAATTTCAATTTATCATCAATGTGTAAACCCAGAAATTTTGTTTCTGACATATGACTGATCACTTGATTACCTATATGAAGTTCTTGTAGATTACATTTGGAAGTGAGGATGTTCGTTTTTGATTTATTGAAAGAGAGCTTATTAGCATCACACCAATCTTTGACTATACTAATGTCATTCTCAATCACTTGATGCAGTTCTGAGACATTTTTATCATGCCAAAGTATTGTGGTGTCATCCGCAAATTGGGTGAACCCTCCGGAAATATTGATTGAGGCCAGATCATTTATGTAAATTAAGAAAAGTGTGGGTCCCAGCACTGACCCCTGAGGTACCCCGCATTTAATTTCTAATTTGTGTGATGAGTTGCCTTGAAGAGAAACGCTTTGAGTCCGTTCAGATAAATAAGACTCGAACCACTGGATAACTACATCTCTAAACCCATATATTTCCAATTTTTGCAATAGAATTTTGTGGTTAACACAGTCAAACGCCTTTGTCAGATCACAAAAAACCGCTGCAGCAACTTCCCTATCATTCAGTTTTAGATAAACGTTTTGAAGAAGGTTGAAAATTGCATCAATTGTTCCTTTTTCTCTTTGGAATCCAAATTGAGTAGGAATACTAGTGTTATGCTTATTCAGGAAAGCCATCATTCTTTTTTTCACGAGTTTTTCTATTATTTTTGAAAGTGTGGGTAACATTGAAATGGGTCTGAAGTTTGCGGGATTATCAGTATCACCCCCCTTATGTAATGGAATGACTATGGCATTTTTCAAACATGATGGAAAAACTCCGGTAGCGAATGAGAAATTTACTGCTTCAACAAGTACCGCAAGAGCAGAGTCGGGGCGATATGTAAATATTTTTATAGATAAGTCATCCCACCCAGATGCATTTTTATTTTTTATTTCACTGAAAATTTGTTTCATCTCTACGATATTCGTAGGCGTGAAAAAAAATTATTCCGAAACGGATATATGATTCAAATAACTCAGTGGATCAGCTGAGGAATGAATATTTTTCGAAACATTTTCTGCAACAGAGCAATAATATTCATTTATATCATTACAATCTAAATTTGTTTTCACCGGAACGGAGCTGTTTCTACCTCTCAAGTCATTGACAATTTTCCAGCTCTCTTTTTGCTTGTGACTTGCATTTTCTATTTTGTTCATATAATGCAATTTTTTAACAGCTTTCAAGGTTTTTCTATGAATGGACCTATACTTGTTATAAAATGAAATGAAGGTTTCGTTCCCACTATCACATTTTCTGTATAAAACACACCTACTGATTCAACGCCTAATAGTATAATATACAAGTTTTATAAAACATATAAAAATATATATTGAAACATATTGATATATAATCGAAGACTAGAACCTTTGGCACGATGCTACACTACACACTGTTTTACCCTAGCTTTTACCACTAACCAAACCGATTTCACACCTCGACACGTGTTTCGCTAACTATGTTAGCATCTTCAGGAGAAGATTGAAACTAAATACTCTATCCTGGTGGGCTACTTATACAGGGTATTCCAAAAAAACCCTACCCCATGCTAGGGTAGAACATTGCAAAATCAGTTGGTTTTGCTTAGTGAAAAATCTCGTAACGCCATCCGTTCTCAAGATACAAGGTGTTGAAACAATATTTTTTTTACACATTTTTTACGATCATGTTGGAACATTGTGATGAAATTTTGTATGGATGTTCCTTGAAATCTGATACACCGCATGCATTTGTTTTTATATCTGACTCTCATAGAGGGTGCTAGTTACACGGTTCGTACCGAGTAGTTTTGAACATAACTTCATTGAGGTTAGATTTTTCAATCCAAATTTGATGTGAACTTGAACATCATTCAATTTCACACCAAAAAGGTACTCTTGGTGAAACTCGATGATGTGTTCCGTTTTCGGAATATTTCGATTTGAAATGATGAAGTGGTAACTGTTGCTGGTATAAAGCTATGTATTAGAGTGAGTATTATGAAGAATTATCACCTATTTATTGAAAACCGAAAACAACAATAAATTTCTGATGCAAAACTCATTGATTCAACAATGAATTACAAGAAAAACATCGGAAGAGATTTGACTAGAAACATATGGATTACACAGTTTTGTTGTATCTTGCGCAGAAAATCTATGCTACATAGGAAAATTCACGTCAAGAGTTGTGAGACATAATTGAACATCACTTAAATGACCTAACAGCTGATCCTCAACTGTTCAGAATAATAATACATTCTTAGGAAAAGAATATAGAATCTTGTATTCCTCGAAACGTAGGACATTTTGAACACTTACTCTAACTGATTCAATATTTCATGTTTCTAGTAAAATATATCTCTTAATTTTCTACTTATGATTCTTTGGTCCATCAATATCAATAACTTCAGCACGAGAATAATTTTATTGTTTTTGAACCTGAATAAATAGGTAATTGAACTCGATAAAATTCATTTTATACCAGCATCAATTCTACTCCCTTATTTTCAAATCGAAATATTCCGAAAACGGAACATAATATCGAGTTTCACCAAGAGTAGCTTTTTGGTGTAAAATTGGATGATGTTCAAGTTCATTTCATCTTTGGATTGGAAACTCGGTACGAACCGTGTAACTAGCGCCCTCTATGAGTGTCAGATATAAAAACAAATTTCAGATTTCAAGAAACATCCATACAAAATTTCATTACAATGTTGCCAGTAGTTTCGGAATGATCTTGAAAAATGTCTAAAATAGTTATTTTTGTATCTAGAGCGCGAAATGCTACTTTGGTGATCGAGATCTGATTTTTTTAACGAGGCGTAGCCGAGTAAAAAAATAGTCGAGATGACCAAAGTATTTCGCGCTCGAGCTGCAAACAACATTTTTTCTACAAACGTCAAAAAATATAGATACAAAGTAAAAATATGCTTAGCTTGATATAAAAAATGGTCTTGAACTGGCTTAAAAGGCCTTCCCCTATCCTCCCTAGGTACGCACGATGTTTCACGAACATAATAGGAATTTCCTTTTGTGCGCTCCAAGAGATAGAACAAAGTTATTGTTGAACATTCAGAAATAAATGAGTTCGTGGATGTTTTCTTGATTGAGGACCATAAAGTTGAAATATAAATATTTCATATATTTTGAATTACAATGCGCGAAGTAGGTACTTCGCGCACTGTTTTACTTCGCGCATTGTTTTGTGCTAGATATCATGGTAACGTAGGAAACTGAAAAAAAGTGTCACTTCGCAATTTATCATCAATGCGCGAACCTTGTCATTTTTTGACGTTTGTAGAAAAAAATTATTTTTTCAATACCTTGTACCTTGAAAACGGATGCCGTTACGACATTTTTTCACTAAACAAACCCAACTTATTTTGCAATGTTCTACCTACCCTAGCAAGGGGGTTAGGTTTTTTTGAAACACCCTGTATATACTAAGAATATGTCCACCCAACCGTGAATAGACAATAACCGCCAAGTTAATGTTATTCATGGTTGAGTGCAGATGCTAAATTACTAAACTATACGGAGGGTTGAATGGGATAGGTCCATTATCCTTATTTATTATTCTATTACTATTCTTAATAGTTATTTATGCAACAAGTGCAATAAACAATTTTTGCACGAGTAACATACAACATTTTTTCTACGTTCATGCAAAAAGCAAAAAATGATTTATTGAGGTGCGGCACTAGGTACAATTCTGTTAATTGTCAGAATTAATTTTTGACTGACGTTTCTATAACCACAGTTGCAATATAAAAAATGTTTGTCATGATGACAACACGTTGAAGTAGAATGACAGATGAGTGCAATAAAAACTTTATTGCACTAAGTGCAATAAAGAACTTCTTTTTCCACTAAATATAGTTCAATATCAAGTTCTGCTTTTTGCATGAATGTAGAAAAATATCTTTAAGCTTTCATATGCATCTAATTTTCTAACATTATCAACTTGCTTAACTAATTTGAGGTTATTAATATGTATGTGTGTGTGATATGATTGTTATTGAACATGTGTTCGGCTACACAGGATTTATGAACTGTGGGGCTAACGAAATGTGGGCCTATCGAAATGTAGGTGAAACGCAATAGGTGTAAAGCGGCGTTCACAACCAAACTTTTTACGTTTCGAATTCTGATTCGTGAAGCAGAATCTGAAATTAAACGTGAATTAAACTTACCTATGCAAATGTCATGCACAACAACAATAAATCAACGTAACTTTTTACGTTTTTTCTCAGTTGTCTTGTTTTTGTCTTTTGTGTTTCATCCTGGAATGAAGTGAAATAATCATAACAATAATTTTGAATAGATAGTTAATAAATATTCAAAGAACTGACGGTGACGTAAATTAATCCTCAATCAAAACTTGAAGAGAAAAACCAATCCCCAAGAAGAAAATAAAAAATTGACCAATGTACTCATCTACTATTTCGTGGATTCATGAGCAAAAACATTATTATAACTTCCATATATGGAAATCAATATAAACAACTATAGAATGTTCCATACTCGGTTTCATAGATGTATATTGTTCAATTCGAATCAGAACTAACAGTAGTATTTTTCAATTTATAACAATATCATTTGTCTATGTTCACTATTTTCACAGACGATGGCTTCTTGCAACGCAGGAAGCTGAATATTTCAAATTTCAAATTGATAATTGCTATTTTTCCCAGAGAGCATCCTGAAGGAATCAAAGTTGAAAGTCTAGAAGATGTAGCTGATGGATTCAATGCGACTAGGAAAACGAAGTTCATCACACATGGTTGGATGTCATCTGGGAGTTCGGAAACTTGTATGAATATCAAGGAAGGATTCTTGAATAGATCTGATGTTAACGTTTTCATCATGGATTGGAGTTTAGTAGCAGGTTGGTATTTTAGTGACTATTTCACTGATTACATATTCTGACCAATCACAAGCCAGAGACAACGTGTGCTTATCGCGAAAACATGAGCTGTCTTTCAAATCTGATTGGTCTGACAGCGTTCATGTATGTTTTAACGATGTAACCTTGGATAGCGAATCAGAGTCTGAATGTAACCATAGATAGGAAAGCAAAAGTTATTAAAGCCGATCTCACTGAGCCCCACATTATATTTTCAGGAGTAACCATACCTCTGAAGATATCCATTTCGATGCTTGATATTACTATCAGCAATAACCTTTCTTGGGAAAATCACGTGAGATCAATTGCTGGAAGTGCATCCCAAAAACTGGGTTTCCTGTTTCAGGCCAGGACCTATTTCACTTCCAGTCTACTGCTTATGATCTATAAGGCACAGACCCGACCTGTCCTGGAATACTCTTCCCATATTTGGAGTGCAGCACCCAAACATTTTCTGAAACTGTTGGATTCTGTCCAAAAAAGGGCGATTCGTCTCGTGGGTGATGCCTCGCTCACAAACTCACTCGTCTGGAATACCGTAAAAAAATCGGCAATCTGGCTCCATTTTATAGATATTCTCATGGACGATGCTCTTCTGAAATATCAGCAATTGTTCCTCTCTTGGCAGTCCCTGCGAGATTAACCCGTCGAGTTGAGGCTTCGCACCCCTTCGTGGTCACTTTGAAGACCTGCAGAACATCTCTTTCCAAAGACTCGTTCATCCAAGGAACAGCGAGGCTCTGGAACACATTGCCGAGGAAGGTGTTCCCCGAGGCATTTAACCTCCAGAAATTCAAGAAGAACACTAATTCCTACCTCATTTCCCATGGTTCTCACGATGTTCTCTGATTTTACAGTATATCCCTTTTCGTGAGAACCAGAACATAAAAAAAATCCTATTTTTGCTTCGTTAACGTGGAATAGTGGAGCAAAATACCACTCTGTCATGAATAGCTTCTCATAATTTTGTATTCTATTGTTAACTCAATTGGGTTGCTATACAGCAGTACTTCGACTCGTCCTAACGGACTCGTGGTGTTGCTCGGCAACACAAATTCGTAAACAATGAAGCAAAAGAATCATATCGAATATTCGAATATTCGAATTTTCTTTCCTTTTTTTGTGCACTACTCACACTTTATTGGTTCTTGAACTCATCAGCATATATGCATACAGTTTTTTTTTTCTCTCTTATTTTTAGAATTTTGAGATATAGTATTATGGAAACAGATTGATATAATTTTTCCGTTTCACAACTCGAACTCCAACCCTTGTTATAAGAATTATAATTTTCTTGATACAATAAATGATCTGTCTATCTCTAACTATGTATATCGAATATTCAGAACAGCGTGATATAACTTATGACTATTTCACTCATCACATAATCTGACCAATCACAAGCCAGAGACGTGTGCTTATCGCGAAAAAAGTAGCTATTTTTCAATTTTGATTGGTCTATCGGCGTTGATGTTTTCAACGATGTAACCATAGATAGCGAAGCAGAGTCTGGATGTAACCATGGATAGCGAAGCAAGGTGTGTCAGTTTGGCATGAAATAATTGTGGCTGTACTTGTCGGAATAAATCACTCATTTATAATAAATACTCTTCATGCTTCGTCAACGTGAAAAAGTCTAGCAGAAAACCACGCTGTTCTGAATATCTTCTCATAATTCTGTCTTCCATTGTTAACTCAACTTATTCAGAATTGAAATCGAAGAAACCTGTTCTACTTTTCAATAAATGGACAAAGAGGTTAGAGAGCTCCATTCTTTCAACCTTCGAACTAACGAAAATCTTCACATCCCTCGTCATTCGTCAGCCATGTTCAGAAAATCATTTTCCTACTTAGCTGTATCTTTTCAGAACACGATAATTAAAGAACTCATGCAATACTCGGAATTCACATTCAAAAAGAAACTAAAGGCAATATTCAATATGTAATAAGAAAAATTACATTTTTATTTCAAACCATGTAGCTTGTTGTATACTACTAGTATAATTTGCCCCATCGGATTTTTTTTTTAGATTTTGGAAGACAGAGGGTGAGCCCGCTGGGGGCCCTCAATTCACTTAGACCTCTAGGGTGGGTCCATTGTGGTACCTCTGTTGTTTCGTCCCTCATTTCTTCCGAACCGGCCTCAACTGAGTAGACGTTCACCTACCATTCGTATGAGTCCTCCTTGTGCTCTCCCCATCTGCTCTCCCGGCGAGCCTGGATGAGCCCGCCAGAGCCTTCGCTGGTCCAGAGCCCGACTGCTACCCGCTCCTATCGTGAGCTCTCATGCAGGCCCTGCTCCAGAGCCCATTGGTCCAGCGCCGGAGAACGCGCTGGCCCGCATCCGAGCCCGCACGATCCCCCCGCCGGAGCCCAATTGGGCCCCTTTGAGCCGCACAGGCCCATTTGAGCCCACGCGGCTCATCGCCTGAGCCCGCACATGTCTCAACGTTGGAGCGCTCACTAGTCCGGCACCCGAGCCCGCATTTCCCAGCTCTGGGGTCCCTTGGCTTCACGGTACGAGCCCCAAGGAGAGACAAGGGAGCCTCACCTCATGTGTTTTTGTTCATTCCCTGAAGTGATCTATTCCCTCGCAGAAGGTCAGCACTCTATTGATGGGAATGTTTCTTATCTGTTCGGGCTCCAGATATGCTGAGCCTAAGCATTTTCTTCTTCGACGAGCCACTGCGGGACATGCGCAAAGGATGTGGGAAGAAGTTTCGTCGTCTTCTTCGCATAGTCGACACATTGGGTCCTCTACCACCCCCATGAGGGCCATGTGTCTCATGAGTCTACAGTGGCCAGTTAGAATTCCAACCATCATAGAGCATTTCCTCCTGTTCAATTGTAAGAGGCTGTGTGATTGACGTTTGCATGGCCCCGCAATATGGAGCCGTGCTTGCCTCATTCCCCCTGCTTCTGCCCAGGATGTCTGGAATTGCCGCCATAGCAGGTCATCCAGGGCTTTTCGGCCGACACATTGGGGGACACCTACTATGGGTTCGGGCCCGATGGGAGGAGTTGAGGCGCCCCGCCTTGCTAAGGCGTCAGCGCCTTCGTTTCCTTCAATGCCTTCATGTCCCGGCACCCACAGTAGGTGGACTTTGTTGGTTCTCGCTATTGAGTTAAGAGCCAACTTGCAATCGAGTGTTAATCTTGAGATTAATCTCGGAGATCCCAGAGCTTTCAGAGCCGCTTGGCTGTCCGAACATATCGAGATGAGCCTGTTATTGTAGTCCCTTCTCTGAATTTCTTGTGCACAGACCAGGATGGCCTGTATTTCTGCTTGAAATACAGAGGCATGCTCCCCCAGACCGATACTCAGGTCGGCCCTGGGACGCAGTCCATATATTCCCGCACCTGCTTTACCATCCATTTTGGACCCATCTGTGAACCAGACGTGCCCCTCGCGGTGAAGCAGACTCGGTCCCGGTCCTTTCCATTCTTCCCGAGATGGGAATTGAACAGAGAAGTGTTGGGTAAATTCGTAACAGGGTATCATGCTGTCCTGGACCATTGAGAGGACTGGACAGCTTTGAATAGCCTCGTTCCATATTAACGAATGTCCTGTGGGCCGCCCATGGTCCTGCCACTGTTTTGTACAGTTGAGTCGATAGGCGGCCCTCCTGGCTTCATTCTGAAGATGCAGGAGGAGTGGTGGTAGTCCCAACAGTACCTCAAGGACCTCAGTTGGGGCCGTCCTCATTGCCCCTGAAATACAAGTACATGCTAGGCGTTGTGTTTTGGCCAGCTGGGATCTGGCTGTTTTCAGCCTGGTCCTCGGCCACCACACGACTGCCGCGTATGATATCATCGGCCTTATCATCGCCGTATATATCCAATATAGGACTCTAGGCTGGAGTCCCCATTTTGCTCCGAAGGTTTTCCTGCATACCCAAAAGGCTGCTGTCGCCTTCCTGAGTTTGGAGTCTAGATGTTCTTTCCAGGTTAGCTTAGAATCTATGGTCACCCCTAGATATTTGACTGAGCTAGAAAGTTGTATAGGTTTCCCAAAGAGTATCAGCTCTCTTGGTTGCCCAAGGTTTCTCTTCCTAGTGAAGCGGACCAAAGCAGTTTTCTCAGGATTCACACTGAGCCTCTGCTCCTGGCACCATTCCTCAACCAGTCCAAGGGCCCTTTGTGCCACGTCAAACACAGTCCCTGGGAAAGGCCCTTCAATAAACAGGACCACGTCGTCTGCGTAGGCCTGTGCGTATACCCCCTGCTGCGTTAGCAGGGTAAGTAGGCTGTCTACCACCAGGCACCAAAGCAGAGGAGAGAGCACCCCTCCCTGCGGGCACCCCCTGGTAGCGACCACTCTAACAGCACAACCATTTCGGTTTGCCGTGATTGTTCTCTGAGTGAGCATAGCTCGGATCCATCGGCTGATGGTCTCCTCAATGTCATGTCTCTCCGCAGCGTTGCACATTGAGTTGAAATTCGCGTTATCGAAAGCCCCCTCGATGTCCATAAAAATACCTAGGCCAGTTTGTTTGCGATTTAGCACCTGCTCCACTCTACCAACGAGGTGATGAAGGGCCGTCTCGGTAGACTTCCCCATCACACAATCTTATTTTTTTGCCCAGTTACTCTTATTCCCATAGTACATATTAGGTTAAGTGTAAGAGTAGCTATAGCTAAACTTCGCCTACTATGTAATACTGAAATACTAAATTAAGTCGATTATTATTATTATTATTGATTGTGTTGCCGTACCACTTTGTCCTAACGAACTCGTGTTGTTTCTCGGCAACACAATTTCGTGAACAAGGAAGCGACAAAATTATCTTCAGTATTCAGAACATCGTGATATTACTCAGGAATATTCCACTCAGTCATCAAATGAACCAATCAGAAGGTGAAATATAAATAATAATGATGGTGGTGTACGACGTATTTGAAGATGAATAAATAACATTCAAGTCAGTAAACAGCATCAGGAAAATCTCAGTGCAAATGTGAGAAATGGAGGTCGCCAACTTCTTGAAAATTTCAAGATCTTGTCTTGATCTTGTCTCAATCTTATATGAGACAAGATCAAGACAAGAAGTAATTTCAGATTTCAAGACATGACAAGAAATTCCATGTCAATACCAAACTGTCTTGTCAAGAAAACAAGAAATCTTGAAATTTCTTGACTGAGAATGAAATCGCTAAAACGTGCGGTTATCACTCATGGTGAAATAAAAGATAATAATGTACTCTTTACCACCACTTCACAAAAGGCAGTGAGAAGGTTCCGCTTTTGATAGTTTTTGTTGCTTATATGTTGGAAATATGCACCAATTTTAAGAATTTCTGTAAATTTCGTTATCTCCAGAATAACCTCTTTTCAATTCTAGTTGAGAAAGACACATTTGATATTCAAAAATATTTTGCCACGGCGTACCGTTTCAGACATATAAGCGATAACCCAAAAACGAACCCTTTATTGCCCTCTCTCCTCCGGCTTACCTTCTAGACGTCATAATGTTGACTCTATAACCTCCTCGAAAATGTTTTTGAACATATCAGTTAGGTCCCTGGTCACTCAGTCTACAACCCCTTCATTGATGAGTGGAGTATAGGTAACAATAATCGCCATATTTTTAACTTCATATTGGAATATGTTCCAGATGTGATTGTTTATCCTGTTCCTGCAGCAGCAACCAGACCGATTTCTGTGTATTTAGCAGAATTCGTGAATTATCTGATTGAATATGTTGGAGTCGACCCCATCGATGTTCATTTTGTCGGTCATAGCCTTGGTGCGCATATCTCAGGTTTTGCTGGACGACAAATTAGAGCAGGAAAAATAGGACGGATCACTGGTAAGAAAGAAAACAGGATAAAACCTGATTGAATGATATTCTCAAAATGAAATGAATGAATCAACATAAAAAATGCGTTTTGAAAAAGTCTCACAATCCGAATGATAACTGACATCGGTGGGAGCAATATAAATGCATTTATATATATCTGCTGGGCTCAGTTTCATTTTACTTCACTTTCGTGGTAAAAAGTCCAGGATGGGATCTAACCAAGATGACGAGTTTGTCATTCCGCGTCGTAGTGAAATTTTCCTGAAATAGTAGATATCAGGGAATCTCTAGATCTCACTCCTCTACATTTTTTCGTCTGAAATGTAGCGAAGTGAACTACGTTTTGAGTGATTAGAGAAGGCGTTATCAAGGACATGCCGATCTGCTTACTCAATCAGCAAATCCAGAACTCGCATCAGAATGGAATGAAGAAAAGTACAGATTTGTGCAACAGTTCAACACTAGACTGGGCTGTAGATAAAAGTTAAACAGTGAATCCATCTGTATTGGGCTCAAAGATGGAGTCAAAATGGCTCCGAAACCGAAGTTTGAACTGGAATATAGAAGTCTTCAATTCTCAGACTACTCCGGAAGCCTTGACATATCTCTCATTGAATTTCAGATGGAAATTCACGATCAAGAGAAATGTGTCCAGATGAAAAACTATGAGAAACTATATAGTCTGATAGTCAAGTAGCCATCAAAGCGCTGAGCTCTATGTTTATCAGCTATGAAAAATTTTTGTTGTAGAGAAAGGTTGGAGGAATCAAACGGTGGAAGCAAAAACAAGTAAACTTTGTCAAAAATGTGTCTATTAAACGAAAAACATAATCAGTGAACAGCTGTTCACAGGAAGCATTAGTATGAGTTGATTTAGTTGGCTGAATATCATTGATACCATATGACAAAGTTATATATGAAATTTACTTTTTTTATTCAAAATTTCCAGGTTAATAGCTCCGTAATGATGTTTGATATACAATTTTTGATTTTTCACTTGTCCATTACTGCTTCATCATACCTTGGCAACGGTTACTATTAACAGACCCGGGGCGTTATGGAGGGCATTATGAATCATAGTGACCGCTAATTGTTTTTTTCTGTAGTTCATAAAATCACATACGAATTCTTGAAAGTAAACCACCAACACGTTCTCATTCATGGCAATAATTTTCATTTTTCAACTTCCATTGATTGAATACTCCATAATCCTTATCGTATATATATATATACACGAGTCTGGATTTCTCCGGCAACATAAATGATATTTTCATAAGACTACACAATGAAGAAAGCAGCAATGACCTTCACTAAATCGAATGATGACAGCAATATTCAATAAACGTCAAAATATCAACAAATGCCATGCCTACCATGAAAAGAAAAATGGAAAGAAAATGCTAGGAGCAATGAACCGCTTTTCAAAATCGATTTTGCTTCATTTTTATATTATAATTTATTTTATTTTTCAGTAGGTATTCATCCCTCGGGCCAAACCCATCGGGCGTTAGGATCTATATAACGCATTTGGTACATAAATAGCTATTTCATGAAGTACTGACATTATTTTGGCTCACTTTATCAGCCCCATCACTCACGACATGACTTCTCCTCACACCCTGTTTAAACAATCACCCTGTACGTTCAATTCCAGGACTGGATCCAGCTCTCCCTCTATTCGACTCTAACCCCGAAGAGCGTATCAACCACAACGACTCTCACTTCGTAGACATCATCCATACGTGTGCTGGATTCTTGGGCATAGAAGATGCGATTGGTCACGCTGATTTCTATCCGAATGGAGGAACTGCTCCTCAGCCTGGATGCAGCTATTTCGATGTAAGTCATCGAGTTGTTTCTTCCACGAAGCTGTACACCAGAAGCATTCGCAATAATGGCAATTTTTAAATTCCGATAAAAATACTGTCTTCATAGTGGTATGATGAAACACGGTTATGATGCAGTTCGGGTTAGATGAACAACGGTCATGATGAATCATCATTCAAAGAGGAAATAGACTGATTTCACGGCAATATATGGTTTATATTATGGTTCTGGTGAATGACCAAATCAATGGAAAATTTTATATCAATCTGATAAGAAGCAGCGGTGTTTCATACCTCTAATCATGAGTTAGGGATGGTAAGAGGTTTGATGTAATAGCAAATATCTTGGTTATCTAACATACGAAGAATTGAGAAAGAATTGTGGGAGATTATAATATGGAAGCAAGAGCTCTTCAAGACGAGGAAATCTAATTACCCTGATATCGAACAATAATCTACTAGTACTAGAAAGTGCCCCATACTTTGGTTGTTCAAATTTGCACCTCCATGTTAATTCGGTGCATCTTGAAGAACTTTTCAAAGTAGGGCGTAGTTTCTAGTAGATTATCTGACATAAGGGCGATATGATCCCATCATTTTGGAGAGCTTTTGCTACCATAATTTCCATTTTCTCAAATTTTTATTATGTCAAATAACCGAAATATTTGCTGGACAAAAACTGTGGACAAAAATCTCTGGGACTCCCGGTATATGTATGTAATACAGGGTGTAACTGAATAGGTGTAAAATATTTGAGGGGTGATTCCTCATCGAAAAAAAGATGGGATCTTTCATATAAAGAAACTTCAAAGGAGCATGCCATATCAAGATACAGCCCCTTGAAGGGGGTGCATAAAATATAAAATTTTGTCAAGAATTTTTTCCACAAGCACTAAAAAAGTTACAGTATTGAAATTAATCTGACATTTTCTACTACCAAGAAGACACTTAGCCAGTAATTTATTTGGTTCACCCTATGGTTGTAAGGGGTGGAAAACGCAAGCTCTAGATTTTATTTCCAATGTCACTTGTTTTCTTATTAACCCTTGATTACTCAAGCTAATTAATTTGAACTTTTTCCCGCGCGGTGTATTTTGCACACCACCATGAATTTGACTTGTTTTTAGGTGAAACAAAAACGTATGCTTTCCTAACCCCGCACAAGTTTCGACCTATGGGGCGATTTAGTGCTGGGTCCAACGAGGAAATGCAATTTAAAAAAAAAGTCACTCAGTTTTTAGTGCGTCCACATAATACACAACTGACGTGTCTGTATACAATATTGAATACTTAGATAATTTACCCTATTTCCCACGCAGTGTATTGTATGCTAGGCATAAACAGGCACCAACGTGACCACATCCCAGACATGTTAGACATTAGGTTAGGTGGGAGTCTAGAGCCACAAAAAAATTCTACGTTAGATGGTAGCAAGAAATTTGGCGCTGGTGTACAAAATACACCAGCGCGAATAATTAAGGGTTAACTGTTTACCATTTGAAAATTTATTTTTGATAGCCTGTTTCATTCTAAACAAAAAATGTCCCTTGAATTTTTTGTCCAAAATGAACCAGTTCGCTGCAAACAAATTATTTTACGAACAACATACATATTGCCATAAAACGAAAATAAGAAACTAATTTAGTAGGCCGCTATTAGCGATAGTGACAATTAAATTGGTATCAAGCTGTCAGTTTGTAAATTTGTAAACTTGAAGTAATACTGATTGTGTATTGTTGTACTGTTCTTAATTTGTGGAAAAAAATTTGAACAAATTTTATGTAGGTACCCTCCTCAAGGAGCTGGGGGATGGGATGGGATGCTCCAATGAAGTTTATTTATATGGAAGATCCTATCTTTTCTTCGATGAGGAATCACCCCCTCAAATGGTGTACACTTATTTAGTTACACCCTGTATATACACACACTGGCACAATTAGGGGAACGGGTAAAATTTACACTAAGTTTGACATCAATTTTCTCTCGAACCGATCACTCGATTCAAATTTGTTTTTCACGAATTGTAGCTCCATTCCTCACGAATAAATCTGAGAAATAACCACCTCCAAACGATTCGTCTTTATATCATATACAGGGGTGTAAAAAAAGTACGGATTTTTCGGTATTCTTTAAGACATCCTGTGGAGTGAACCACTGATGATTGAAACGATTTCTCAACACCAAATTGGAGCCCAATCTATTCCGAATATTTTCGTTTTTTATTCATCTTGATATCCCAATTATCCAATAAAATATAGAGTTTCATGGAAGAGGTGGATATTGGTATTAATTTTACCACCTCGAAACTCGAACTGGGGAGAACGTGTCGTTTTTGAACTTGTTTCTGTGAGGATTTTTACTTCAAGATGAGAATTGTTCACCGTTTTATCGGTTTACTGTTCAACGACACATATACGAAAACTCTCATGAATATGCAGGGGTGATAAAAGTTGCTCCAATGTTCTTTTGGTGAAATGCAATTTTTTTTAATCAACGTTGGCTATTTTGTTAATGTCATTAATTATTGTCAAAGTCAAGCGATTCACAATTCATAAATTTGATTAATGAAAATTCAACGTGAGAGATTTGACTCCTAATGATGTGGCGAGGGCTGTAGCATTAATTGAAAGAGCCGCATCTGCACCAATTCAATAGATGGCAGGGAAAGACTATATCGCCGAGGTGAACAAAATGAACAATTTGATTTTACTGCTTCTGTCTCCTATGGCAGAAGTTTAGTCATGGTTAGGTTAGGTTAGTCAAGAAACGACACATTTTCAGATCAAATTTGAGTTTTGAGGTGTAAAATTGATACCAATATACACCTTTCCTTTGAAACTCTGTACTTTCTTGAATAATTGAGATATCAAGATGAATAAAAAACGAAAATATTCGGAATGGATTGGGCTCCAATTTGGTGTTGAGAAATCGTTTCAATTATCAGTGGTTCAGTCCACAGGATGTATAAAAAAATACCGAAAAATCCGTACTTTCTTTACACCCCTGTATATGATGGAAAGACTCATCGTTTGGAGGTAATCATTTCTCAGATGTAATCTTGAAGAATGAAGCTACATTTCGTGGAGAACAAATTTCGAATCGAGCGATCGGTTCGGAAGAAAATTGATGAAAACTTAGTGTAAATTTTGGCCGTTCCCCTAATTGTGCCAGTGTGTGTATAATAATTTTTCTGGAATTCAATTAATTCTATTCTATTCATACTGTCTGAAACGTAGAGTCATGTATGAAACACTGGTAGAAATCGATTTTCGACGGCCTAGACTCTCATAAATTGTCCCGGATCTTTTTTAGAATGTTCTCGGTTCAGGAGAGTTCGTAACTTATCTACGGACAGAAATACCATCGTATTGGTGGACGATGGAAATACTATAGATTAGCTTATCTTGGGGTCTGTATTTGCTCCTAGAAAAAAAACATTCTTTAGCGATTTCAGGAAGAATGACAATTCCATTATTTCATATCGCCAGTGGAATTTATTGTTGTTGGGTCATTACTAATTACTGAAGAATGGTTTTGATGGAATTTTTTTGTGTTGATAATCATGTTCCTGATGATGAGATATGATATTCAATTCTATTAACATTCTAACGTATGTACATAGTGCGGATGATATAGCATTCCACATTTCGATGAATTACTGATTGATGTTCAACATCGAGATACACTGAAAAAAATAGTCGGTTGTAAATACCAAACGTTTAGTAAAATAAGCGCCAGTCACTACATTCATCTATCAATACCACTACAATATTGATAATACTATACTAAAGCAAACATTACCAATACGAGATAGTATGATACTTATAGTATAGTATGATACAATTTTGCTGTGGTATTATTTGATGACCGTAGTGACTAACGACGTTTGATATTCACTACCGACTATTTTTCTGAGTGTAGTTACATCACTTAGCATCTCAATCAATTAGTCTGATGAAATACTTTCCTGTCAATACCAATTCCCAATTTCTATAATCTTTCCACCTATAGGTGTCCCTCGTGAATTTATTTTCCAGGTAACAGAAACTTGCAGCCACGGTAAGAGCTGGAAATTATTCGCTGAAAGCATGTCTATGCAGGACCCTTTTCTAGCATGCAGGTCAAAACACGACAAAGAGATGTGCAACGATGTGGTGCCCATGGGCGAATCGACACCCTCTCATGCGAGAGGAATATATTATTTGATAACTGAATGATTGACATTTCTGCAATCAATGGACGACTGGAATACTGATTATTTTTCTATCCAGATTCGAGTTGAATGACACCCTACCTTCGAGAACCGATTTTTTCAACTAATTTCATGCGATCAAGACAGGCAACGCCGTGCCTAGGACATTTTTCTAACTAAAGGAAAATACTCAGGTGTTGGTCGTAGAGGTGGCAAACTATCTATAGTTTCGATACTATCGATCCAATCCGAAAATTGTGACATCTGATTTGATTTCAGTAAATTGAGCACAGACATCGACTTCTGGAGATGGATTTAACACCCCTGCCAACCAAGGAGTCCAAGGACATTGACAACTGACAAGTGACAAGGTGATTGACGGTGCCAGCAGACAGATGAACCGATCTCAAAAAATTCGAAATAAAATGAGAATATATATACGTACTCACTTTATTTCTGATTCGATTGAAAGTGATTAAATTCGAGGCGCAGACATCAACATCAAGGCTCAGCTGCCGCTCATAGTTCAGAGATGAAGAAATTTGACAAAATTGACATTGACCATTATTGTGTTGTCGCCTTGTCTCTTGTCGGGTTGTCACTGAGAATCTGTTTTTTGTATAGCATTTTATAAAATCTTTTTTTTTCAAAACAGAGACTCATAACCGAGGGGTAAGTACTTAGCCATTTTTTGTACACCAAGGGGTAATGAATGCCTCAATTCACCGAAATTACCCTGCAATGCCCTTTTTTCAGTCAACAATACCCCGCATTACACAACATTGCCCTCCAATGCCCAACATTGCCCCCGCAATGCCCAA